CCCTCCCGACGGCGACCGAAACCGTAATTCAGACTCTCGCATTAGCAGACAATCAATCTCTCTATTAATAATCTCGCAAACGAGGGGAAAATCGCCGGAGCGGACAATAAAACTCGACACACGCCACTGTTTACAATATAATTTATGCGATCTGGTAGTTACAGGCCGACAATAGAGGCCTAATAACTGGCTTCATGTATTCAATACCGGCGACGGGGTCGAGCAACCCCCGCCGCCGCACGCAGGGGTCTGGGACTCGATTCATATGTATTTTATAATTAAATTTTGATGCGATTGTTCGGCCGGAAACTCCAATAGAGACCTCCCTTGATTGTCTGCTGTGTTTTAATAAATTTTATTGCACCGTGTTAAGATTGAACTGCGACAGTTTTTGTCTTGGTGGGGTCTGACGTAGAAGAGTGCGAACAATAGAACAATTTTAAGAACACAGCAAAGCGACGTAGGCAGAGGAAGAGGCAGAGGAGGAGAACTGTACAGAAGATTCCACTTAAAATATTGAAATTATAGGAACGGATTCCTTTTTGAAAAATAAGTGCACTTTGCTCTACAACCTTTTGTCTCAGATAGTCCGGTCAAAATAGACATTTCAAATAACGAAAATTCCGATAGAGCTAAATGTTGGTGGAGACCTTGGGTACACCATTAGAAATAAAGTGTCAAAAGTCCCCATCGATCCCATGTGTGCCAAAAAAGTTATTCGGGATCAATGGTCAAAATTTGAGGTTTTTTGGATTTTTTCGAAAGCGGTAAGTTTTATCAAAAAAGTAGTCCAGACAAATTATAGATCTTAAAATTATCTAGAAAAATGGTCCTTATACTTTTTTTTCTAAGAATCACCATAGCGCGATTCCAATAGTTGAAGGAGTCACGTTCTACATGATATGCACACATTTCCACACCACCTGTGAGATAGTGTACTTTGGCGCGTTTTTTTTTTAACGTGGTTTCCCCGGTAGGCCTACTCCAAGAACTGTTATGACGGAATTTTCAGGGGCAATACTCTTTTAAGTGTATGATTATTGATATTGATATTGGTTATTGACTTTAACTGTAGTTGTGATTTCTTTTGATATTTTAATCAGATTCATACTTTTCAAAGTCGACTTCAACAGCCATGTCCTCTTCGATTTCTTCTTTTTCTTCTTCCTCTTCTTCTTTCTGAATGTTCATAAATTGTTCAAATGAAGATGAATCAGCTGTCTCTTCATCAAAATCACATGAATCTTCGTCTGTTGTATTCAATTGGACATTTGAGCAAGACTGGCTTTGGCAATTAGTACACGCTGGAGAACACAGTAACCCTAGTCTTCTACAGCCACATTTAGCACTACAACCTTTTTTGCAATTGCAAAAAATAGTGTTTAGGAGTTTTTCCGGAGCAGGTGGGAGTAAAGTTTGAATCAGTTCCAAAGTATTATCTGTTAATTTCCAACCCCAGTCTTCTGGGTTCAGTTGATTGCCTAGCCATGTCTGAACTTGATATTATACTCGATACAAGTGTTGATTAGCAGAAGCCGATGTTGGAGGAAGACAAGATAGTTGTACTTGTTTCTTGTTTCGTGTATTTTTTACAAAAGTTAAATATCTATATTTATCTATACAATCAATTTTTTTGAAGCTCGGTAAACAGCAAGGAGAAAGCGAATTCCTTTTGTGATTATTGTTTGAGGTGAAGAATCAATTTCTGTAAATACTTTAGCGCAGTCAATCAAATCTTTTTTTTCAAATAATTTTAATACTGATGTACCCCTTCTGAACATTGCTGATGTAGTATCGCAACCGGTTATCGTATGTAAAAATAAGTTACGGTTTTGACATTTTGGATAAGCAGATAAACTTTTTAAAGAATATAATTCTGTTCGCTGTTGAGCCTTTCCAGGTTTTAAAAAGTATATAATTTTATCAATTGGAGTCTTTGCAGTGAGTAGTATTAATAAGTTAACATCTTCACTAACTACAGTATTTGTTGCATTAAATTGTTCTAGTGCTATTTCAATTATAAGGACATCTGCGTCATTTTGACTAAGGGACTGAGTTTCTTTTGAGTGTATATTCTCAGAATAGTATAGTTTATACATACAAGAGACACAAATAGACATTTTTACTTATATTAAGTGCCTGACTATGTATGTATATACGTGGCATATATGTGCATATCATGTAGAACGTGGCTCCTTCAACTTTTAGAATCGCGATATCTCAGGAATGGTGATTCTTAGAAAAATAAGTATATTGACTATTTTTGTAGATAATTTTAAGATCTATAATTTTTGTCAGGGCTACTTTTTTGATAAAACTCACCGTTTTCGAAAAAAATCCAAAATACCCCAAATTTTGACCTTTGACCCCGAATAACTTTTTTAGCACACATGGGGTCGATGGGGATTTTTGACACTTTATTTCTAATGGTATACCCAAGGTCTCCACCAAAATTTAGCTCTGTTGGAATTTTCGTTATTTGACCACTATTTTTATGACTAATTTGACTGGACTAGAAGGTTCAGTTTTATAAAGATATAATAAAGCGGTAAAGTTTAGAACGAAGACAAAATTTAGAAAAAACCTTTTGTTGTAAATATCTTAGAAATCTACATGGTGAGTAAGTAATAATGGTGCACACCTTAATGGAAGATTGTAACGTCAAAATATAGCGATTGAGCCAAACATTCCTTAATCAATTTTTGCTCCTTTTCGTTCTACAGGGTGTCAAATATATTTTGCTATAAGTACGTATGAACCGATTATTTTGAAAATTTGTAGATTTACGTTTTTTGAAGTGGCAAATACGAATATGCCAACAGTGTTGAGATCACGTCTAGGGGGCGCTAATTATACTGCCCTATCAATGTAAAAATATGTCTAACTTTTTGTATTTTACAATTTCGAATTTTTTAACTAGAAAATATTGAACTCTGTTCAATTGTAAATAAAAGAGGTATACTTGTTAGAAATCGATAAACTCAACCGTTTTCGAGATACAGACATTTTAAATTTTTGAGATTTGGCGGGAATTAAAAAAAAATATTTTTTCCAAAGTAGTAGGCATTGACAGATACCCGAGAAGTAAAAGAATATCTTGAAAGAAGTTGGACGCGGTAGCGAAATACCTTGGCCTGCACGTAGCCCTGATTTAAGTCCGCTGGATTTTTCTTTTGCGGCTATCTTATTTCTCTAGTTTACAAATACTTTATTAATAGTCAAGAACAACTGTGGACAAATATTTAAGTATCAGTTCGTTTTATCAAACAATATAGAACTTTATTTTTTGGGTGTTTTTTTCTACCCCATACAAACGTAGGGGAAAATCAACAAATTATTTACTGAAACCTTCTCGATGGCAGAAAACGTCCAATTAATTTCAATTCTGCCACTTTTTTGGTATTTCAGAAAAAAATTAAAAACTATGTTTTTGGCACCCTCTTTACGCGGTTGCAAAATACACATCACTATGCAAGGAGATTCAAAATGGAATACAAATATTTTAAGTGAAGAGAACTTCGAAAATTAAGCGCGTTTTGATATATGAAATGGTATCTGGAATTTAAAAAAAAAATCGGGTTAGTTACAATAGGTAGATCCCATTTTTTCATCATCCCAATTTTTTTATTTTTGACTTTTTGCAAGAATCGTCTTCATGAAATTAATTTTCATAGTAATTTGAAACATATTTTTCGTGGTTCAACAAAATGATCGTGGTCTCTTTTAATTTTCTTTCCCTAAATTTTGGCTGAACCCCATGGAATTATCTTCCCAAGCGTGATCGCAAATTTTTGATTTCTCAAATTCTCTTTTTTTTTTAATGTAATCTTCGTGCATGTCTGTTAATTCTCAAAATAAAACAAAATAAACTTTATTCAAAACTTCAACGTAGGTATCTCGAGCAAAATACCTTTAGTTTTCACTAAATATATTCTCCCTGAATTATTATTAGTTTATTGAAATTTTGTTTGATAATGATTAAGAACAAGATAGACATGAATATAGAAAACAACAATATGTATTTAATAAAATGGACTATTTGCTCGAAAACAAAATACTGTCTATGGCCATTATTTTACAATATTTTTAAAAATTCTGAGTATTGATATTGAGTTTTGAAGTCACTTCGAGATATATGCAAGAAATGTGCATAATTAAAAATTCATTCCAAAAAATATTTACCACTGTTTGCTTTCCAATGGAATTCATTTGGTTTCTCTGTAGTTTTGGTCTTTAATAATAGTACAAAACTATATTTTATGGTTCAAACTTATAGTACACTCAACATTTACTAAACAGTGAGAAATCATAAGTAATTGTTCTAACATCAAAACCTTGCCATCAGGTTAGTATATGAGATCAACGGTTTTATTATTAGTGGTAGGTATAGGATCATTTATTATTATGTTTTGTCTGTAGATATTTCTCAATTAATAACTTTTTAAGTTAAAAAATTGGGAATGTAAATGTTCTAGATAGCGTACTCAAATTTGTGATTTGTGAAAAAAATACAAGTTACTAAATCTTGTATTTTTTTACAGTTGTGTTAAAATTGTTCCTCAAGATTACAGCAACATACAGTGTTTTAGAAATAATTACCACAACTTTATCCGCGCATTTAACTCATCAAAAGCAAAAACTTTTTCTTTCTATCTAACACATTCTTTTGGACTGTCTTCCAAACTATTGGGGGTAGACCCATCAAACCTTATATTACTGTAAATTTAAGGAATATGTAAATACAAATGCAACTACTTTATTCAACAGGGAAAACTCTACAGATATTATAAATGATCCTGTACATAAGTAGTCTCATCCGATCATGGACAGATAATTCGCAATCTCTTACTTATTGAAAGACCAAAACCTGCAGCACCGCAAACCTCCTGCGTTCGATTAATGATTTCAGCTTTACGCCACAAAGAATACCCCAAGGATCCTACCTCGGCCCTCTAGTGATAACTGCACCCCTGCCACTCCTCTCCAAACGCCTTCCGAGGCTATTCGGAGTAGCTGGTCTTGTCGGAGCCCGTATTGGACCCCGGCGACGACGCCGACGTCGCGTTCTCCGCCTTGTAGAGGTCGTGCATCTGGCCTACTAGACTTAGGTACTCTGGAGGCGGTCGGATGACCGTAGGAAGGTATCCGGTGCCCGCGTATGGCGCCGAAAGGAACCTCCTGGAGGGGCTGTAGCGGTGGAAGTTTGGTGGGGGACCTAGAGGGGAGAAGGCAGAGGGGGCGGAGACCTCTTCGTGGTTGCCGCCGCTTACCATCAACTCCATGGCCTGCAAGACGTCTCCCTTGCATCTGGGGACAAAAATCTTACTCAGTTTGTCTGCTGTGATAAAAATTAGTCGTTTATAATAAGTAATAAGACTGGGACAGTTGTCGATTTTTTAAACTAGTTTAATAAAAACATTTAGGTATTTATAGGGAGTTTCCTATAATTAGCCTGACAAATTATATGCATGTATAATTATTACATAAATAAACATAAAACATAAACATAAAACACACCACAGAAATGAGACAACCCCCAAATCCAAAAGCCAAAGGCTTGTGCGGAAGAGGGCTACACTTGAAAAAACGTGGACAAACACCCATTATCCATCGACATTGCCAGTGCCGACACCGGGGATCGAACCCGGACCAGAGTAGGAAGCCTAGCCGAGAAATGCTTGCCACCGCACTCTCGACCGACTGCGCTACCGTGGCGAAATAGATTCTACGTTTAAAAATAATAAGAAAAAAGGTACAGTTTTTTGATTTTTATTTAATATCTTTACATTTGAAAGAGCTACTTTGTGCTCAACAAGATTGTCAGGAAATTCTAAAATTTTATTAGGAAAATGTTATAATTTTTACGAAAAATGTCCCTATGTTTGACTTTGTTAAATGTGAATATATTATTATTTATTAATTATTACTGAGTTCCTGTCACAATGTCAAAAGAAAAAATTAAATATCCATTGCTTGTGTAATTTGTCTCTTTCATTTGCAGTATTTCCTAATACCTGGAAAAAATCTAGGATTATCATTGTATTAAAAAAGTAGGTAAGTTATTGATAATTTTTATAGGATTATTGCTATAAAATAATTCCAACAAAATATTTGAAATTGTTCTTCATGATATTTTATTTAGTCATATTAAATAGCAAATTTCCATTGATCAACATGGGTTTATGTCTGGATGTTCATCAATGAGATCACGTGAATAAATTTGAGACCGACAGTCAGGTGTTATCATTTATGCAGATTGCTCTAAGGCTTTTGATAAACTAAACCATAGCATATTGATGCAAAATTTATTATTTTCCTTTGTTTTTCATCGATCATTAAAAAAAAATCGTATTTAACAGACGCTTGTCGGTGGAGAGTTGTAGCTTTTGTTCTGGTTCTAGCAACCTCAGGAGTTCCTCAGGGCGCTGTACTTGGACCCTTACTAATTAATATTTCTATAAATGACATCATATCTTATCTCGCATGCAGTACCTTATAATGCTGATGGCTTGGAGCTTAAATAAAATCAACCTAGGTTGCATTAGTGATAATCTGTATTTATACACCAATAAATGCAACTCTGTTATATACTGAGTTGTATAAAGTTTAATTATACGCCCTTATACTTATTGTAGTTCCACAATTTATAAACCTTGGAATAACCTTTTTTATTAAATTCACACTATCAAAATGTACCTAGTTTTCCCTTTTGCTTAGTTCAGATTCGATATATTCTGATCTTATTAGTCATTATTGTACAATTTCTTTTTTTTTTACTTTTATATTCCTGAATTTTAATTTTTATATATTTTAACTATGTTTTATATTTTAATTATTGACTATTCATGTCCTGTGATTAGACAATTGTTTGGACATACAGGCTTAAGTAAATAAATAAATTTCGCCAAGACGTACCGTTTTCGAGTAAAATCGATATTTAAAGTTCTATTATCCCTTTGAAAATCTAAGAGTCAGTAAATGGAGTGTCCAATTAGCCTGTCAATTCTATCTTCAAAAATAAATAAGAAAAATATTCTATCAAGCAGATGTCCAAACATGCTTCCTGAAGAAGCTGTAGGTTCTCCTTGAGCAAAAAAAACTTCGGATCTGTATTTATTGAAACTTTTTCTTATATTTGAACGTAAAATCGCCAATGAGGTTTGTTGCTAATTGAATAAACGATTTGGTCATTATTACATTTTTGTGGGGTAGGCGAAATGTTAAGATTAAGACATTTTACTCGAAAACGGTATGTCTATAGAAGTTCAACAAGAAATCTGTATTAAAACATTAGTAAAATGTTTAAATTTTTCTATCAAACTCGGAAAACACTAATAAGTAGGAGTAGTTATAATTTTAGAATTATCCCATTTTGTTGAGAATAAAACAGTCTTTATAATTTAATTTACTTGTTTGTATAAATTTCGCAGATACTGAATAAAAAAGCTTCCTCAGAGTAGAACTATTTTAGAGCCTATGCATATTTCTATTATTTTTGAATTTAGAATCTAGTTATGAAGGTTGCTGGCTAACTATGGGATACCCTGTATTTTTCAAAGAAGGAATAAAAACATATTTTAAGACCACCATATTTTTTCAACATTACAATCAACAATTATACAATATTAGTGTACTGTACTCGAAGCTATTAGATGATATTTGTTTTGTTATATAATGTGGTCAGATAGGATTTTCATTTTATAGTATGTGTTTGGGGAATCCTGACGTGTGTGGTATATAGACCAGTGCTTAAGCCTTCAAAAATGGTAAAGAGTGAAAAAAAAATTGTAGTAGTATGAAACCCATTGGGAAAGGAAGAGAATATAACAGAAATGAAAAGAAAAATAATTTACGGGCGATCAGAGGTCGGGAAGGGGAAGGGTAAAAAACGGTTTATCTTGATTTCCGGAAAAACTACAAGTCTTATGAAAGAAAGTTAAATGGCAAAGTTGTAGGTAATAAAAAGATCTACAACTTTTGTATTTACACTTTTTTCACATAACCTCAAAATTTATGTGAAAAATTCAAATAACCAAGTTTTTAGTTTTTTTATTTTATCTTTTACAAACAAATTTTTTTTTCATGAAATTTGGTGAAAACTTACCTATTTATGTCCCACACACGCTGTAATTTTTTTTATTTGAAATATTTATTTTTTCACCTTATTTTTACTTAATATCGAAAAAGCACCCTAATTTTCAATCCAAAATTCTCACGTCAAAATATCTGCTTTTTTAAAAACGTCGGTGGGCTTTTTCTTCGTTGAAATCTCTACTTCCTGATGGTGTAAAAAAATATATACATTACTATGGTAAGTTTTCTCAGGAAATGCAAAGAAACAAACTAGAATCCGAAAATTTTTTTCTAATCATTATGTACAATTTTGAGCTATTTATTAAAATTTACACTTTAATTACTCGAAAACGTAAGATTCCATGTTACATTGATAAACAAAAAAATTACAAGTCGAAATATACTATTATAATTAACAACCAAATAAGTTAATAAAGTTAATATTTAATAAGACATCTACAATATTTTGAGAAAGTTGTAGAATCTTCTTTCGTTTCTTTGCATTTCCTGAGAAAACTTACCATAGTAATGTATATTTTTTTACACCATCAGAAAGTAGAGATTTCAACGAAGAAAAAGCCCACCGACATTTTTAAAAAAGCAGATATTTTGACGTGAGAATTTTCGATTGAAAATTAGGGTGCTTTTTCGATATTAAGTAAAAATAAGGTGAAAAAATAAATATTTCAAATCAAAAATATTACAGCGTGTTTGGGACATAAATAGGTAAGTTTTCACCAAATTTCGTGAAAAAAAATTTTTTTGTAAAAGAAAAATAAAAAACCAAAAACTTGGTTATTTGAATTTTTCACATAAATTTTGAGGTTATGTGAAAAAAGTGTAAATACAAAATTTGTAGATCTTTTTATTACCTACAACTTTGTCTTTTAACTTTTTTCCATAAGCTTGTAGTTTTTCTGGAAATCAAGGGAAACCGTTTTTTACCATTAAAAACTTACCCCCTACCCCTTCTCGACCTCAGATCGCCCGTAAATTATTTTTCCTTTCATTTCTGTTATATTCTCTTTCTTTTCCAATGGGTTTCATCCTAATATAATTTTTTTTTGGTTTCAAAAATTATCGACCCTGGCCTAATAGTATTTTTAAAATTCTACAAAATAATATGACAAGGTTGCAGGCACATCTTTTTAAAAAGAATTTAAACGTACTTATACAAGTTCTATTAATACCTATAATATTTATTTCTATTGAGGAACATGTCTCTAAAGTACGATGTTGGAATAAACAAATACTATTTATTTTTGGACAGTCTCAAATCTGACCAGTTACCTTTGTAATATGGACTCAACGTCCGACCGTCTCCTGCCCGGAAACACCCTCATGAGCACGTCAATGGGACTCCGCTGGGTAGTGTACGGCGGCTGGTACTGCGTGGGAAACTGTGAGAACTGCTGGTGGTATGGCATGAAGTTCTGAATTTGTTGGGCAAGTGGAGAAGTATCCGGACTGGGCTGTTTCTCTCTTTTCACCGAAAGGTTCTCAGGAACTTCCCCTTCGGCGTCGTCTTCTACGTCTAAGTCTGGATCGGGACTTGTCACGGGTTCTGGTGATGGTGTGGGCGCCAGGGGAGCGGGTGGTTGGATTAAGGGGGAGGTCTGGCGGCTTCTTTTGATGTCTTCTTGGTCGGAGGAGTCGGACTCCTCCAGGGAGCAGTCTTCCACGTTGATTCTAGGCCTTTTGGAAGCTGCAACGAAGGGAAAATTTTGTATAGAATTGCGCATTTGAGTGTATATTTTCTTTCTACGATATATTGTTACTTTTTTATGTTACATGTAATATTTTACATCGAATTTCACCCAAAGAAACGACCCTGTTGTCCCGGTTTTTGACTTTTACACTTAATTCCCTCAATAATTCTTAAGCGTGTATTTACTTTATAATGAAATACGTGTTGCATCCGCACTCGAGTAAATCTAGGCTAACTTTTCCGCAGCTAATAAAGACCAAATACCCTCGAGGCTTCCCAAACGGCTCGGGGGAGGTTAGAGGAGACATTTAGCAACAAGGGCCGCTATAAAAGGGCCGCCGCCGCCGCCGTCGCCCTTCATTACCCGTCGCAAACGATACTTGCGGTGGAATCCGCAATAACTGCGGAATGCGGGCGTCGAGTTATAAATATGAGTATCCATTTAATAAAGGGGACGGTTTATGGGTCATATACAGGATAGCGGTCATCTAATTGACACTTCTCGAGAGGATAATAACAGCGGTTGGCTGTAGACGGCGGTATTTTTCGGTTTAGGGGGGCGGAAAACGGCATCTGAAGTGAGGAACAAGTGCCAATTTGTCGAGATGACAGTAGTAAGGATAAATACAGTTATAATAGTAAAAACGATGGCATGCGTTGTTTACTGCAGGCATAAAATTGTGTTTTGACAGGAATTATTCGGATTTGCCAAGAAATAACTTCTCCTTTGTAGATGTTCATTTTCCCTCAATCTCATCGTCAATGTTATTTTCCTTCACAGATGTCAGTTTTTATTTTTTTTAACAAAGTTTTTAAAAGTGTTTATAAATGTGCAAAATATGAAATGTTAATGTACTCGAATTACATTTTTTTATGCTGCTAAATAGCAAATGGAAATCCATTTTTGATAGTAATTATATTTCAGAAACTTAAATTATTATAGAAACAAATAAATATCAACAAAAGTGTACTAGAAAAAAAATATTTTATAGACGAATTAATTAATTTTAAGGATTGGTAATACACTTTGTCGTCGTATATAATTTCTTTCCAAGCAAATTTTAAAAGAAAAACATTTCAAAAATTAATTACTAATCGAATTACGTTTTAAAATTTATGGACAGTTGGGTTTATCAGGGAGAAATGTAGGAACATGCAAAAACGAATTTGAGCAAAAAATGGGGAATTTATGAAAGCTTTTGAATATAAAAATGTTAAAAAGTAAACATTGACGTCTTTGAGAAAGAAAAGTAATATTGACGATGCGTTTTTCAGTTCGAAACGTTACCAAACACTGTAAAAAAAATTCAGAAAATTTCACTCAATTTTGCTCCATAATGTATCAACAACTCTTATTTTGTATCAATCACTTGTCTTTTTTAAATTAAATAGTTCTGAAAGTCTTAAAAATATCTACAAATTGATCTCAATTTGTCTGGCACCTTATATAGATTATAGGAGATAGGTACAGACTTGGGAAACTTTAAATAAGCTTTAAAGCAAAGAGTGACCCGAAAAAACCTGTGATTTTCGCCCGTTTTTTCACAATTCGCAGAGAATTAAAAAAAATACATAAAAATATATTTTTATAATATGTCTTAAGTGTTGAAAAAATGCCAAAAATGAAGAATTTGAATATTACCAATTGATATAAAAACTATTAGCATGTGAATTATCTTAATTTTTTTTTTGGAATTTTTACAATTATTTCTGATATTCTCTGTTTTTGGGGATGATTTCTAATTCAACATGCTTATTTCCATGAGAATAAATCTTTCTTTGTATTAAGAATCATTCAATAGAAAAATTCACATGCTAATAGTTTTTATATTTATTGGTAATATTCAATTCTTCATTTCGTCTTTTCAACCCCTAAATAAGGGTGATTTTTGAAAATTTTCAAAAAACTAAAAGCTATGCTCATCTTAATTTTTTACGACGAGTAATTTAAGACCAAAAACATATTTTTATCTATTTTCTTTAGTTCTCTGCGAATTGTGAAAAACCGAGCGATTTTTGCGGTCACTCTTTATATCTCCAACAGTTTTTGGGGTTATTTATATTATCTACACACTACACTAAAACACACTACACTAAAAAAATTAATTTCAAAAAGTATATAAACAACACCCAGTACATGTATCGGGTGATTCAAATTGGTAGGTTTTTAAAGGTTACTGCGAATAGATAGAGCAAATCTTACGCGCCCAAAACTCTTTTTTCGAAAAAATAGCAAACCGATTGGTGCCCTTTTCTCGTTACCCTTTGAACAGGCACTCTTTTTGAGATATATATGATGGCTTAAAAATAAATATAATATTTTTAGTTTTTGTTATGTGACAACAACTTGTGTTTTTTTATATGGAACACCCTGTATTTTATTTCAAAAACGGAAAGAGGACTAAAAATGTATCCCAAAATCTACACTTTACTTACTATTTTATGTGAAGATTTGCGGAAAATGTAAAATTTTCAAAATATCAACAATATTTGAGTTTTCTGACTGAGAAGGCTTTGAAAACATACAAGTTTGACGTTTAACGTTGTTAGAAGCGTATTAACACAAATCAAAAATGTATCTTTACTCAAATGAAGACAAATACAAATTAAGAAAATGTAGAAACCCATATTTCTACGCAAATCTTTTGAAGGAAAGATTTTATTTAAAAAATGTGAATAAATATAACTACTGTAATCAATATTTTGTTAGTATTTGCATTTGTCTTTATAAAGGATATATAGGAAAGGCAGTTGGTAGAATTATCAAAACTAAAATATACATATTTTTCTTTCTATGAATACTTATCCAAAAACCGCCAAACATTAACAGTAAACAGAGCTCCTTCGTGCTATTTTAAAACCACAGACGACTAAACGCTGGACAAACACAAATATTAACCATCTAATTTGAAAAAATCTAGCTAGTCAACGGGGGAAGACGACAGTGGTAATAGTCGGGTGCCGTACGGCACAAACACCGAACCAGGATCAATATTGGAGCCTTTCTCGGCAAACAAGTGCATTTATTCAGATGAAACAAGGTTGGCTCTCTTTCGTTTCTAATTTATCGTTAATAAGTCGCAAAGAATTCCCCGGCTTCTAATATTTACTAAACTTGAGCAAATATTGGACGACTTTAACTGTTCATCGTACATTATAACAACCAGTTCCTCGAAAAATTGATTTTATACAGCGTGGTAATGCGACGCGGAAGACGTTAATCAAAATAAAATATTCTGAAATACACATCTTGGTCGAAAAATATTATTTTGTTCTCGTCTGAGCTTCTTTAATAATTTTGAAAGAATTCAAACAGCAAAATAAATATTGATCTCAAAGAATCACACATACTTTAACTAATCCATTCGTTTCGAAGAAGACAGATTAAATGTACGAAATATTTACTAATTTGCAGTTTAAGAAAGAACATTTTCATTTTATTTTACATTTCAATCAGCGATCGCATTATCTCGAGCGGAGACGTAACCGTTTGTCATTGTTCATTTTAAACGAATCATAAATATTGGCCAAGCTAGGATTTAGGGATTTTTAGTTCGCAGTAGGTACCAGCCGTACAATGTTTAGCCTTAGAAATCTTTAACTTGCTCCTGTTGTTCTTGGCCTAGGCTCTGTGAGGGGAAAGTAAAATACAAGGTTATTTAAAGAAGTATTAATGTCAAATTAATTATACAACGGAATTCTTTATATATTACCTCATTATTATACAGTTTTCAATTAGATCAGATAAATATTAGATATTTTCTTATCCTCTGTATGTTGTATTTTACTCAGATTGTCAGTCTGTATTGCTTGGCCTTTATTCTCATTTTATTCTCTCATTTATTCTCATTCGTTTTACGTAAGTAATTGGTTTTAATTGAATATACCCACTGGGACAATGAAATTAAATCTGTTATTAAAAAACCAAGAAGCCCTATGATGGCCCTCATCGTCTACAGAAGCAATTCGTGAAAAATATTGAAGTATCAGTCGAAGCCCGGCAAGTTTGAAACTCATAAAAATCACTTATTAAAGAATACTTACGACTCAACTTTTAATAACAGAATAAATTGTGGTTAGCCGCACAAGCACGGAAACTTTCTGGCTGTTCAAAAAATTGAGAGTACGTAGGAATAGGAGCTTATTGTAAACAAACGTTTAGAAATTCTAAAAAAGTGCAACACCAAACAATTTTTTAGTATAAGATTTGTTATACAAACTATATACAAACATTTGTTATACAAACTGTATTAACAATGACTGAACAAATCAGAAAGTTATTTTGTTACGAGCAGACTCAGTATCCCTCAATTACTTCGTTTTTAAAGCGAAATTCTATTTCAAATTTATGTTACTAATAATTTCGATGGTATAAGAATTAAGCAAAATTTCCATATTCTGTAAATTTTTCATTTCATTTACTTAAAAAAAGTATGTTTTTTCTGGAAATTTATCTATAGAAATTGATAATTAACTGTTTATTTTCGTTGTATTTTTACAAAGTGCTAATTGGTTACAAACAATCTAAAATTTCGTTAATATCTAGTAACTTTCCAGTCTCCCGGTAATATTCCAATTCACTAGCTGGAATTTTCCTCTATAAGTTAACATAAATTAACCATATTAGATATAATTTTTCTTGTTTATTCATTAAAATGTCAACAAACTGCATATTACTTTGTGTCCACCCCAGTTTTTATGTATAATGTAGTTGTATTTTACTTAAAGTAAATTGGTCCCTAAATATTTTAAACTCGATAATTAGAAACGAGATATTGTTACCTCAAAAATATTGTCTTAGGCTTAAATATAACCTTTTTGTAAAGTCTTTCCGAAGTCAGTTGAACATGTATAAAAACGCCTAGCAATAAAATTTAATGAATTTCATAGACGTCCCTAAAAAATAATAATAATTTGTATATAATGTGTAGAAAATTTCTATTATATGGTCATACATACTATTTTAATTATTTTATTACATTGATGTTAAATTTGGG